TTTCTCAGGTAGCGCGAAATACAGGTGCGTAAAAAACTTACTTACCTACGTTAAAGTAGCAAAGTTCGTTTTCACATATGTTTTTGAGAATATTATGTAGAATTCAAATTCACTATTGCCAGACACTTTCCGTGGGCCATTACTTCTACCAGACGTCTTTAATATTATTTAAAAATTAGGTTAACTACGTTATAGTAGCAAGCCTAAATTTTATATATGTTATTTTTCATTAAAAAGATGATAATTCTCGCGTTTGGGTGCTTACAGGCACCGGAAACAGTCAACGCTATATTGATTTATCTAAAATTTACGAACATTTGGGACCGTCTGTATGTAGAAGCTTAATAGGCTTTCATGCTATGACAGGATGCGATTATAATCCTGCTTTCTTCAAAAAAGGCAAGCTAAAACCATTTAAAATATTGAAGAAATCTCCAGAATATACAGAAGCATTCCTCAAATTTGGTGAAGTGGAATTATCTACTGATAAAGAGAAGGAACAAAGTATATTCGATGTAATTCAAAAATTTATCTGCGAGTTATACAATGTTTCCGGAATAATTGATGTAGATGCTGCACGGCTACAACTTTTTATTAATACACATACAGTTGACAATGTGAATGAGGAATTCCAGCGGCAAAATGTAAGAAATTTTGACGCATACACATTGTACACATTGTACTAACAATCCTCAAAATTTCAGCTTTGCTAAAATGACGTAGGTCTGGGGGCTCTGGGATCTTGGACTAGAAGTATAGATCGCGTTTTACGGAAAACTGACTCATAAATCTTTTAGATGCTCAGCCACTGCTTCAGCACGCACGCACCGGCCGTACCAAAAAGTACGGTAATAATAGGCCGTACGAAACGCATTGCATGGATTTGTCAATGTCATACGTCTTCTTCTTTTTAAATAATGGCGTTGCCCTTGAGGATTTCGCCACATGTCATACGGTCACTGTAGTCGATTTTTCATAGATGCTTCTATGAAAAGTGTGACGGTTAGTTTTGACGACGGAATTACGCTTTCCAAAAAACTGTAGGCATATTCTTCGAAGTAGGATGACGAATAATGGGAATCAGAAACTTTGCAAACGAAACAAAAAGTAGTTCGTTGCTTTCCAAATAACAAAATACATCTAATCTGTGTCTTGAGTTTTTTTTCAGTTTGTGTTCATAGTTAAAAATATGAGTGTAAGTGTGGTTTATTTTATTTATTGATATTTAAAATACTTACGGAAAAATAATTTGTTGTTCAGACCATAGCAAGGCTCCCAATTGCGCGGCGTCTGTAGCATTTGCTACATTTGCTATAAGGATTATCCAGCTCTGAATGCTGACATATGGACGTTTAGTAACTATCCATCTTAAAGGTTAAAGCATATGTACACGACTTAAGCGAACCTTGCATCCGCAATTTTAGGAGCTTTGCATATTAAAATTAAAAACTATCTTTATATTTGATCGATCACTTTTACATTCACAATGTTAAACTGAAAAACTGCTCTAAGCAGTCCGGGTTGCGAAAGGTTTGAGTTCCATCTCAGACTGCCAGGAAGAAATTGGATTTTTAGGCATTTTTAATTAATGCTAAAAAAACTAACTACAATTACTTTAATACTGTAATTTGGATGGACAAATGTAAAATCATTTTTAATCATTCGAATTAAGTAACTAATTTAAAACAGAAGTCATTTATTTTGTTTATGTCAGAGTATTTGTTTTGCCTCTTTTTTATTTGCAGTTTTACAATAAAATAAGAAATAAAAATAAAAGTTATCAATATAATAAAGATAATTACATCCAAATTCTGCCCTTCAAAAATTGATTTCATTACCATTAATGTCGACAAGAACATATTTATCTGTCTCCATTTATTTTCTCGTAATTTGCAATGCCCGCTTACCGCCTTTTCCTTAAACCAATTCAATGTGTAAGGCGGTACGGGTTCTCAATTATTAAACAATGCAATCGTCTGCGCAAGGTACAGCCCAGTGTTAATACTTGAACACCTAGTATGTGGGTCAGAACCGTGGGAATGTACCGTGTCGTGAGCCTCTAAGAAATTATTTACCGGAGAAATGTCTTGACTAGAATGCTTGATCGTGTTATGATTTGTTACGAGGCTGTCTTGAATATTAAAGCATTCTTGAGCTCTGTATTTATAAGAGGAGAGTTTGTGTGTAGTCTAAAGTAATGATTATAAAATGGAAAAGCACAGCCTTACCCTTTATTTTATTCGGAGATTATTCATTAGCTGACACGAGGTTATCAATAACGTCAACACTAATTGAAGAGAAAATAACGAACGGAGGTACTTAAATTATTGAATTTTTTAACCTCAACGCATACCTATTGAACTGAAGTGATAGTTTCGTCAATTGCACAATTAACTTCTTTAACAACTTTTTCAAAGACTATATATAACTACTTAATTGTATAATAGATTCCACTGGCTCAATTGTTTTTCTTCTTCTAAATAAAAATAGGTTTTGTAATTCATAAACTTTTGTAGTTACCCGTTCTATGGAACAAATAGATTTTTCACACAATTCTATAAAATAAGCACTCGCTGGATTTGTTCAATTTTGAATATTTTTGGTGAATGCTGCCTAAGGGGAGAATTTTACCTTTCAACATACATATATTACGGTGTAAGTAAAATTAAAATGTAAAATTGGAAAATTTCATCTAGGTATTCATATTTCATAAAAAGTATTTATTTTAAGCCATTTTATGATTGTGTATATTTATCGTACCGAGTAACAGATTAATTAAAAAGCTTTTATTAAGTTTTCATGTTAGTTTGTTAGTAAGGTTTATGGTAAGTGTGACCTTGCAATATTTTACTCATTTCCTGGTTTTCGATTGAGCTGAAATTTAAATGCCAGTCTATGCAATATTAATATAAAAGGGGAGCTGATCTGATGATGAAGCTGAAAGGTAGCCTTGGGATCTTTATTTGATTTGTCTTACGAGGTTTCTGGTACTGATCACGTCCACGAAATCTTATTTTTATTACAAGTTTTTATTTAACTTGCCTTGTATGAATGAATAATTGATATACTCTTTGTTGTACACACCATAAGGAAATGAACAAAACATAATAATGCAACAGATAGTACAATTGGCGGCCTTATCGCTAAAAACCATTTCTTCCAGGCAACCTTAACGTGATAAACAGGATACATTTGAAAAATTGTGTAGTCTATGGTGCATTAAGAAAAATTGCGCAAAATATTTAAACTGAAATTTGATCCACTTCCCAACGTCCGTTAGATTTGAAATTTTTCATAGACGTGTAAGTCAGATGACAATGTAATATTATGGTGTCAGTACGCTATCATCTTACTGACACCATGATGATGGAGCTGGAAGGTGGTCATAGGAACTTAGCAATGAAATAACGCCACTGTATCGTGTTTGGGCTCTTTAGATTCGTCTTTATGAGAACAATAACATATGTATATAAAATGAACAGGAAAAACACCTTGCAATACAGATGCTACGTCACAAATGAATAGAATGAGATAAAAAATAAAATAAAAAGACTTTTTAAAAATAAGTTTTTTTTTTTGTGCGCATTAAAACGTGAATAATAATTTTAACGCTACGGATATTCCGTTGACTGTATAAGGTTTATATTCTTCCATATATTTTTATTAGCTCAGACGTATTGCGATCGACATTTAAGCGGCACAAGTATCGTAAGATCATCACTAACCCTACATATTATTATTGTTACATTTATCTCTATTTAATGATCAATCAGAAAAATATGAATTACACGAGTACAAAATATTAACAAAAAACCTACAATTATATCTTATATTAAACATAAACACCTAAATACATTTAGGTTTAAAACCAGCCAAGTGCGAGTCTGACTCGTGCACGAACGGTTGCGTACCAATATTTATTAAAAAAGAAATAGTTGTTTTCTTTGGATTTGTTCGAAATTTTCGAGTTAAGTAAAATTGGTCGACTATTACTAGTAAACTTGCAAAGCCCACTTAAGTAAGATAGTTTTATTTTTAACTTCCTTATAAAGGTATAGTACTACTACGTTTGAATTATTACGACCGTTTAGTTGGTAGAAGGGGTGGGGGTTCGCTTAACTCTAACGAATTAAGTTACAAACAGCTTACTAAATCTAAAAACGGCCTTCCAAAATCCAATCCAATGTTTTTGAAAGACCTATCCAACAATGCCCCATACTATGGGAAAAACGAAAACAATCATTGTCATCCTCACTTTACATGTAAGGGAGGCATCCAAAAATTTTTTTTTGAAATTTGTTTTACGACTTTGTTGGCGTAATTACCATGTATACTCATGCCAACTTTCTAGTACCAATCGTTTTTGAACTAAACCGCGGACGGTGGGATACTTACAGTTTCGATTTGCATGTTTAAAGTGAAACAGTAAGGGATTCTTGTTTATTATGGAAACATAGAAATCAAAAACAGGAAATCAGTTATAGGCACAATGCACCCAGCAGCAATAACTACGCAATTATTGTAGCAGTTCAAGACCCAGGAGTCGACGGCGTGCGGAGCGGATGGTGCATGGCTGAAGCCAGCCAGAGCCAGACGTAATATTGTACGTTTGTGACTTGTGTTACAGCCTAACCTAAAGGTAACAGTTCGTACTACATATAGATATTTGAAATTCTTAGGTTGTCTGGTAAATTCATTTTACAAGTAGGTTTAAAAAAATAATACTGATATACCATGAAATAATCACTTTATTCAAAACTATAGAACGACTACCTTAAATCAATATTCTTCTTATCAAACAGTACAATATTTTTCATTAATAATTCTATATACAGCTAATGTTTTTAAAACATATTCTATATAAGAATAATAAGCACTTCAAAGTGAATAGAAAATACTAAAATTATTGTAAGAAAAATGTAGTCTAATATCGTTGTTTTCAACTTGAAGAATTTCTCACGAAAGACTTACATCCTGCATTTTATGATTACAACATAAAATTAATTAGGAAAACATCTCCTTTCAACAACGGTTGCACAATCAACTCTAGACATCTCTCTGAATATTCTAGATAAATTAATAAGCATGTTGGCATCATTATTCCGACACAACCAAAGAGACAAAATATTCTCTGTCGGTGAGCAAGTATTAGAAAAATAATAATAGTAAGATGAAATCTTTAACTTCTCAGCCAGTAATCTCCAATCATTACCTTTATTCGTTTGCGAATCTAAAAGTTTACAAAGAATAACCTTATCAGATTTAGTCAGTACGTTTGTTCTGTAGCTATTCTCTGCACTAAAGTTACTTCTGTACATAGCACTGTTTTTATAAACGAAGTCGTAACAACCGTCCTTCTTAGTCAAAGATGAGTAATTGAAAGGATTCTCTACAATGTTTATGGAATACCCCATCTCAACACTAGAACAGCTAAATCGCTTGCTACAACTAAAGTTTGAATTCAAATCGTTTGCTTTAAGGTTGAAACTAACAGAGTTAGATTGTTTCTGTTTTTGATAGACGCACAAATTGAGTTCCAAGCAATTGATAGAATCTGTCTGTTGCATCGTAAAAACACAGTGCACAGATTTGTTGTTCATTTTCCAGATTTGGGAATACGACAACTCTTGATAATTGCCACCTTGCAGTTTCCATCCGACGCCCACTTCTCTGACGTTAAAACACAAATCGGAACAGTTCTGTTGGAAATAAATAGTCTTTGGTTCGCATAATAGCGAAGAGCCCACTTTTTTTTCATTTTCCAAGCAATTATAAAACGCGTATGGAGTATCACAGAACACATGAACTTTTAAATTGTAAACGCTGCTCTCAAAAGTTTTTGCCATGAATATTGCAGATTTCAAGACCTTAGTATCCAGGCCGCTGAAACTTCGGCCAATCAGAACAAAATCGTTTAAGAATTCGCACACTAAGTACACTTTAGAAGGATCGACTTGTGCAAATATTGGAGTACCAGGTGTTTCCTGGCCTAGTGTCAGGACTTTTCTCCATTCTTTAGTGGTGATTTCATCTGATCTTTGTAGAATAGAAAGAAGCCAGCTTGTATTTTTCAGAGAGCTATAGTGGGGGAAAGTCAGAACAACACCCTTTCGAAAGTGGAGGTTCTTTGGACCGCACCTGATCACCGGGCTCAGCTGCGTCTCATCTGTCAATAAAGAAATTTATTAATTAGTTATGTATTGACCTCTATATTATGGTAGAATTATGTAAGTTTAGATTGTATTTTTTCAACTACGATTATGTTTGATCAATATCGCATTCACAATGGTACTGAAAAATATTCTTAATACAAAATCTTTAAAAAATCCACTTGGTCAGGGTCCAACCTGAAATGGGATTTGAACCCACGACTATTTCATATAGCATTGTGAATGCGAAATTTACCTAATATAATAATGAAAATAAATTCTCATCTTTATCGAAAGTTTCAATATTTGTAATAATATTTCTTTCGGCTGTTTAGGTGGATGCCTGAACAATGATGGGAATACGCTCTGTAGTGGCGAGGGGTAACAAGTGCTGAAGGATTAGTCAGTCTTGTTAGGTCCTGGGTAGCTTAGTAGCTAACTACTAGCATTCGTCCGGATTGCGAAAAGGTCGTGGGTACAAATCCCATCTCAGGGACCAAGTGAATTTTTTAAGCATTTTGTATTAAATATACGATTATGTTGTATGTATACGTCGATATATTTATAGTTTAATTCGAGATTAAGTGGTAGTATATCCATATGAGCTTAAAGTTCGGTAAAATGCCAATAAAATATTCTGAAATGGTATAACTTTATTACTTTTGTAAGTTTATTGTGAACGCAATTATTGTAGCGCAAGCTATCAACTTCAACTAGGTTCAAAGAATTATGAATGTAGGTCGGGCGCAATAACGAACTTCTTTAATCAGAATACCGTATTGGATATCATTAAAAGATAAAAAATATAAATTTCCATTCCAATTTAAAATAAATAATTAGATTGAGTATAAAATATATAACTTTTTTAGATATTATCACAACATAATCAACATAGGCTAAATTAAGATGCGAAGTTGGACCAACGAATTTTTATAAAGCCATATAATGTTTGAAAAAATTTATGATAGATTTGTGTTCCGAATCTATCACACATTCCCATTACGGTCATATTTATCTGTTTCCGATAAAGAGAGCGCCTATTTCTTGCAGACGCTCTAATTCTATATCGATAATCTTATTCTGGGAACCTTTTACAAAACGCTGAAATCCATATTTGAAACGAAACCGTCTGGAGGTTCGAATTGGGTTAATCCTATTTCTAACTTGAAACACTCTAAGTTTGTCTTGGAGGTCATCGATTTTACTTAATGATGTTCGTGTCTAATCAAAGTATTTGGATAAAGGCATATCTTGTTTTAATTTTTCACCTTTGAGGAACTGTGAATTTTATTTAAAATGTCAGTATGATGAATATTAATGTACTTCTTCTACTTTTATTAACACATTGTGATTCAAAAACGAGTCTAGTGACCGATCCGAGACGTCTTGAAATTGTAAAAAGTTTTTAAATTACAAGCTTTAAAACTGCTAAAAAGTTGTTTTAAAAATTATATTAAAGTACTGGTAATATATGTGTGTCTTGAACTTTTTTATATTGGAGAATAATATCGAATAAAGTTGCCAGATGTAGAATAACATGCAGGCACAATCAATATCCATATTAGATGTTTTAGATTAAACTATACTGGCGTCTGCTACTGTGCCTTAACACTATTACTTAGTTCGATAACAAGGAATAGTAATGATAAAGAAATATTTAAATGCTCATACACATAAATGAAAGTTTATAAAATATTTCAATGGTCTGTAACTATATTCAAGTGTGATGTTATAAGAAACCTTTACATGAAATTGAGAATTGTAACCATCTAAAAAGTCCAATAGCCTGTACATATTGAAAATACAAAATTACCTTCCTGTAATGTCGGAGTATTCCACTCGTCGTCGACAACTTCAATGGAGAATAGCTCTTCACTATCCACCACACCATCGGGTACATACAAACCAACACCACATTTGGTGAGACTAAGCCATCCACCTTCACTTGTTAAGATTTTCGACATAGCCGTTTCGATATGTTGATGATTCAGAAACTTTGAGTCCAGAGATGTTTTGTTTCTGAGCGAGGGAGTCATTTCTACACATTCATTACCGTACGATGATCCTGCTGCAAAAATGTTTTGCTATATTTGATAAGTGATACTTTTAGCCAGCCTGATCTTAGAAGTAAAAGATATTTGTTAAAACAAAATGGAGCCTATTCTGATTGTTCAAGAAAGAAAATTCGCAATATTTATATTTATAATCGTTCTTAATTTTTTTTAAACCATATCCGTAATGATTGTCTATGCATCAGTGTCAGGTCCTACCACCGCTGCCTCATAAATTATCGAAAACAAAATATTTGCGTTTAAAATAATGACGAAATTTCGTTTTCAGAGAAATAGAGTAGGCCTTCTGAATGTGTAGTTATTGAATGACAAGTAGACTAATAAAAAGAACTTATAAGATCACAAATAAAGTATGATTATTATTATTATCATTATAATATGTAAAGCTTACTAATTTTAAATATTAAGTGTAGACATTTATAATGAAACACTTACTGATATAAAAAATTGAAGTAAATTAAAAAATGATAACAAAAACATAGATTCAATAATATATCTAAAATTTCATATAACGAACAAAAAGCAGTTAAAGGGAAACTCACAGCTTAAGAAGCAACTAGAGTCAGAGCGTTCTGAGCCGAGTGTGCCCTTGCAAGCGGTGCGTTCGCTGTTCCTAGAAAGCCTTACCTCGTGGTCGATAGGGGACATATAACTGAAAGCAAAGAATGGTAGTTAAATGTACATCATTATCAGCTTATTAGTATCTCCGTTGATCACTGTTCTTCTCTAAGCATACGAATACGTAGTCAAAATAGGTCTATGAGTTTTAGTAATCATTAAAAAACTCTTACAAATTGATATTTTTATAGAGAGACAGTAAACGCTGTTGGGTTTATTGCTTAAAAAAATCTAATCTCACAAAATATCAGCCTTCAATCATTTTCAGTTTGAGTTTAATATTAAAAGAAACATAGTAATTTGAAAATCTACTTTTAATACAGTGAAAATTCTTGAGCATATTTATAAATTCGTATTAATTACTTTTGAAAAAAAAATAACAAATGAACCGAATCATCAAATATATTAATTACCTGTTAGCCAATTGTGGTACTTCGTAGAGATGTTCATTCTTTGCATTTGTAGATGTTCCCGTATGCCTTCTTGTTCGTCTCGAATCAACTGTATGGAATTCTTCATGAATCGTCAAGTCTGGTTGATTAGTTAGTGTTCTTTTTATCACATTCCCAAAATAATTTGTACCTACTAATAAACACAAACTTAATTTCAGATGGGTTATCATCTTCATATTTTTAGTCTAATTCAAGTTAGGTATATCAGATCGCTTACCCGTAGGAGGTTTTACGTAAGGTGAGTTCTCAGTCATTTTCAATTTCATATATTTGATTCCCAATATAACAACAACAACAAATATTAGGAAAGCAATCGACAATGCTATCAGAAGTGGCCAATATGAAGATCCTATGTAATAAGAAAAAAGACATACAAATCGATTATCTACTTAATGTAATAAAACACATTAGTATGTGATAACAAATATATAGCACTTAATAAAAAATAAATTATTATTAAACTGGATTGGATATGAAAGCTAACGTGAAGTTACTTCTGCAGTTATAGGAAGTTATAGTGGCGATGTCCCCACAGTTTGAAATAATTAGTTACCGTGTTTATAACTCAATGTTCTGAATTATTTATAAGGTTGTTCAGTAAATCAATGGTGACCAATATTTTTAACCGACTTCAAAATCTTAAAGGAGGAGGTAATATATTTTTTAACTAAAATTCTTAAAAAGTCCCTTTTAAATAGAATCAGTAGTTCCTTTTATAAGAAAACAAAATACGCCTTTCACCAAATATTACCATGACATGATATGAATATGACTATGTAAGACATGGCCCATTTCATCTAAAAAACAAAAGATTACGTATTTAGAATTTATTGATAATCCGAAAGGTGTCTTTTCTATGTTCAAGAGTATGTATATTTTTATGAAAATAGATATATTAATCGATTTCTTCTGGAATTATGAACCAATTTCTATCACACTAGCTGTTTCCTCGCGACTAATTCTGCGTAAATAATGTCCAACGCGTATAAAGTAGCTTCCCATATATACATACATAAATAGGTCCAAAAGTTTCGGAGCCTATCCAAAGCAAACAAACCAGCAATCAAATCTTTTCTCTTTATAATATGAGCATAGAATTATTGGAAAACAAAATGTCGAGCAAATAAACAAAATCTTCTTTTCTAAGACTTTCAGATGTTGAACATTTTTAATTATATACTCGTAGATATACAAACAGATTACAGTTAATAGAGAAATTCATAATAATATTTAAAGTATTTTGACTAAAGTATGATCTAAGACATTGTACACAGTATGAAAATCACTGACAACATGAACAGACAATTAAATTAAATTTAAATATGAAGTAATGCTCGGATTGTATCAATAAAGTTATAATTTTTCTCACTTATATTTTTTTTTTATATTGTGAGAATTATTTATGTTGTTTTTTTGTTGGGGTAACGTGACTTATGCCTGGTGTTGATGTTGACTGAGGAAAGTAACCCAGGTGACTCAATAAGCGAATGCACTATTTTTTGTACACAGAGGTCATATCTAAATTGCAAGACCATTTATCTTTAAATTCAAACGCCTGAGTAACTACTTAATATCGCACGCCTGTCGAAAATAAATGTTCAGTGTGTGAGTGTGAAGCCTTGGCAGCAATTATTACATTCATATAAAGTTTGCGCGATTAAACTTTTTGTACATAAACAATTTAACGTCTTGATCAAAGTGTGGTGGACAGTTAAATAATATTAGTTGTTAATTTAGATATATATATAATAAGTAACGTTCATATAACCTTTTGAAAACTATAAATAATTGATTTAGGCACTTTTCTTGCCATTGTACAATGCTATAATTTCTATTATATAAAAAATATCAAGAGAGTTCATTACAAAGGAGGCTCTCACCATCATTGATGAATGCGGACTTAGATGTCCTCACACAGACGGTACATTGAGCGACCTGATAATTAGTGCCCGAGCAAGGCTTCCTGATGTTGTTGAGACATCGCCGACTCCTTGTTTTCAGGCAGTCAGTGTCACAATCAGACCACTCTGACCATTGGGTCCAGCGGTCTGGAATAATTGTTAGCTGAGATGTCGAATATAAATAGTTACACAATAATCACAGTAAATTATACTAAAATCCAATTGGGTTACCTACGAAACATCAAAGCTCTGTTGAAAAGAAACAGGAACATTATCACAAAAGTAGCAGTACTAAACATGCCATTTTTTTAATTTTATATATTATTTTTTTAATTTATAGGTACAAGATGAAATGTATAACCAGGAGAAGGTCTTTATATGTTTTTCTCTACAGTTTTTATTGTGACCTAATCATAATATATCATCTACTAACAGTAACAAACAAATACCTAATAAAATATCTGTAGATTCGTCAGCTAATCCATCAAGACCATCGTCATATAAATCTGAAAAGTACAAAAACATTAAAGAGTGTTTCGTCGAATTACAATATCTTATAGGATTAAGTAGATCAAAGCTAATTATTTAAGATGATATAACATGATAATTATAACTTTAATAATAATACTACATACCTAAATCACAATCTAAACAATCTTTAGTCTTTTGCACTTCTTGCCCAGTACAGGGCTGTCCTCCGTGTAATGGCGGAGGTGCCGTGCAAGATCTCTCCCGTTTTCTTCCGGCACGTCGATCGCTGCCTTCCCGACCAACACAATAACAATCGCTCCAGCCAGACCAGGTAGTCCAACCACCATTCACTGTACAAAATTTCACATTTTTCACGTTGGTTAGAGACTTGGCAATTATGCGTGTGTGTGATATAAAATCCCCGTATTCAGTATTCAAAATTATTTAATTTTTATAAAATTTAGAATAGTATTACTTTGTTGGGTACAGTTAATTTTTTTTACAATTTATAGCGTAATGAATGATTGTTTTAGATACTGGGGTCTAGTCGGCCGTAATTATTTACATCAACAATTTCCGACATTAGAAATCTTATTGCTTTTTTCTTAGGCGACAGGTTTTATGTTAATAGAGAAAACATAAGTATAAATAGAAAACAAAAACTTTTTTGGTAAGATAATACAATGAACGAATTGGCTAATTTGATACCTCTTTTTACAATTTCTAATAAAATATCATAATAATGAATAATAATAAATATTAGAGAACATCACATACATTGCCAGATTCCAAGATGAGTAGATAAAGATTCCGTATTATGGAGTATCTGAGACAACGATGGTACTACCTAGACCTGAGACAATATAGAAAAGTTCATTTTCTACATTGACCCGACCGAGAATCGAACCTGGTACGACGGCTACACCTTGAGACTGGCGTGCGAACCACTCGGCTACGGAGCTCGTCGTCAATAAATATCACCATAGAGAAATATTTTAAATATGTACAACTGTAATAGATGTGCAAAGAGCAATGACTTTTGAAATGATCACTTACCTATAACTTTTAATTGTGCTGGTTCAGATATGCGTTTTCCAACTAAATTTTCAGCGACACACGTATAATTTGCCATGTCCTGAAAAGGTGCAAGTTCTTAGCAGTTGTACAATCTAATATCTTTAAACGAGCGTTTTTTGTAAATATTCGACAACATCACATAATCACATACATAATTATATATAATTGGAATCTCGGAAACGATTCCAATGATTTTTATGAAATTTCTTATGCGGGTTTCAAGAGAGAAAAAATTATCTAAGTATACATAATTAAAAAAACCGTCTTTTAAAACTAAAAAAAGAATCGGTCATCCGTGTATATACGGGTATATATTATAATATGGATATTTTATTTATTTTATTTTGGACAATAGAAAAATTTTCTACTTTCCACATGCTATAAAGAAAGTTATATTGTTCAGTAATTAAATTATCACTATTTTTATTAATGATATATATGATAATTTGCCATTATAAATACAAAATGCAATCATCTTCTCAACATCTTGCTTTAAAAAAAGACAAATAAGTATTTCTATAACCTTATGCAAATTATCATTGGAGCTAAAATGCCTAAGTGGAAACGGAAGTTAAACTTAAAAAATATTGTTATAAGTAACATTTTATAACACGTTTCAAAACTCGTTAAATCAATTTGTTTTATTGTAAAACGTAGTTAGTGTTACGCACCAGCAAAGAAGCTTGTTTGATGACCAAATAACCCTCCTTTGTGATCTGGACATTGTCATCAACAACCACTGGGGAGCCATTCTTGAGCCAGTACATTTGAGCGAAAGGTGCAGCTGGAGGCGGGTCGCAACTGAACGTCACTGAAGAATACTGCTTCACCATTTGAGATTGTGGCGATTGAGTAAAATGCTTCTTGATGTCTAAACACCGAATTCAATTTTATGTAATATTTTTTACCTAGATCCATATATAGATAGATATTTTTTACATAGATATCAACTTGACAAACACGATTTGTATGTTATAATATACTAGAGTTATTGAAATTAGGATAAAAATATATATTTTATAAAGAAATGTTCACAGAGCATGAAATAAATTAATATAGTAAGAAATGTATTCCGTTGTTTCTTTCTATAATTTTGTTAAGTTCTTTAATTATGATATTGCTATTACTTACTCAGAGAAAAACACTTTTATTCAAAGATAATATTTGGCCACATAGGGCTACATTATAAGAACATCATTTTTGTATAAACCGAACTGAACATTATCAAATAAGCATAAAAAATTACCACAAAAATGGACCAAATTATTAGTAATTACAAATTTGCCCCTTAAAATATAAAATTTACTTTGCCACATAAATGATTTGATTTTATGGTTTGTTCGAATCATTTGAAAAAAGTTGATCGAATAGTTTTTAATCTTACAGGCAAGCTCTATGGAAGCCGGCTGACTCCTTATATGCCCCCGGCTGGTCCAAGCGAAGCATGAGCACTGGTATTTATCACCACCGAAATATTCCTCGACGCTTTCTCTCGTAATCTCATATTCTCCTTCGATAATCCGCACTCCTGTTTGAGGGTCCACGAATTCGAAGTTGATCGCCTGAGTTTTGACTCCATTGCATTTGAAGTATACCTTTGTAATTTAAAAATATTGCCTTTTTATAAAACCAGTAGAATAATATAATATCTCTCTGAAGTAATCTCCACAAGCTTAAAGATATTGAAATTAAATATTTCAGAACTTCGATGTAAGGTCATAATTATTATTAATTATTTGACAGTTTAATTAGCAAAACCAACTATAAACACCGTTTGTCAAATGAAGTGAGTTACTTAGATTGTATTAAATAAAAAATACATTTTGAAGTAAGATTTAAATTACAATTATATGAATAAGCAATATTAGATTTGTAATAAACATCACAAAAGTAAACTTACTTCTAGAGCGTTAGCAGCACGACATTTCAGGGTCGCAGGTTTATTTTTCACTACATAAGTATTTTCGGGCTCTAATAAGAAAATAGGTAAGTTATCTTTAGCAGAATGTAATGGTATTTTGTCATCTACGGGTAACAATTCTTGATTCATATCACTTTTAACTGTAGCGAGGTCTGGTGAGTCTTTGTAATTATATTTATTTTCATAGTAGTCCAAATATGTATTTTCATCAATGTCGTCTTCTTCGTCGATTTCCTGATGGCTGGCAAAAATTGGTGGTAACAAGTAATCAGTCGCATCATTTTTGTTATTTATTAAAGAATCAAGCGGTTTTGTATCGTAATCTTTAACTTCAAATAGTTTTCTATCATCTGTACGTTGAGATCCTAAAATGTAAAACGTGTGGGTTATAATTTAATTAATTATCTTTGTTTCTGGATGTATTTGGATAAACATAAAAGTTTAAGTTATAGTTTCACCTATCCAATTAATAGATTTATAATAAATACCTTTTCCTGTATCTTGTCCGTCTATCTCTAAGGCCACGAGAAACTGAATCAAGAAGAAGTAACTCCAAAAATTCACTTCCATTTATATCTTTTTCAATTACATGAATATTATTAACGACCAATCCGGATACATCGTCTTCCATTACTGCTCACAATTAGCTATTTACATCATTTTTACCAAATCTTAATTGTTTTAGTAACATTGGAATTATTATTTGAGTAATTTCACCATCTATTTCATTATTAAGAGCCACTTCAGTATTAAATTAAGTTTACGTTGTAAATCAATCGAAAGATACACTAAACGCAAATTTATTCGTAAAAGTTTTACACCATTATTGTGCTGCCGACACGGGTGGTGCTCGCGATTGTTGATAATCAACTGGGAGTTAGGGGTTGAATGAAATAGCTTAGGGGCCGAAAATCTCACTGCGCATGTCAGGAACTCAATGAACAAAGTTTCCAGGTTTCTTTTGTTTACACACGGCGATCAACGTATCACCACATTGTGCCTAATCCTTACTGTATTTACTATATGTTAGTATACCGAAGAATCGCATATGAAATTGAAAATTCGATAAACTTAAATTGCGATAAAATAAACATTCATCGCCACTGTCATGTTTATATTTTCCTATATATTATTTTCCTATTTGTTTGTGAATTATTTTACTTTTCGGTTTATGAATATGTGCGTCTAGCGTTTAAGAGTATTTTAGACTCAAGGCACATTAAAAGAAAGCTCATTTTTCTTTGTTTTTTTCCTATGTTGTATTTTATTACAAGCTAAGAATATAGCGCATTTTGAAAAGCCTAAATTATACTAACGTAAATTTATTTTTAGTTTGTGATGGCTGTAATTGTTACAGGTAAGACTAATATACTTAATTCCAATTAAATTGAGCAATAAAAATACCTTTATTAGAAGTTGTTGCAATCGATTCAGTATCTGATTTTAAACAAAATACAGTTAGATGACATCATCGAACAACATTTTTTTGAAATGCTTTTAAAAATTAATAATTTCAAGGACAAAAATTATAAACCGTTAATTACGCTTGTCAATAGATTATTCCGTACTAATTAATAGATCGGTTCGTCCTAATGTTTTTGGGATGACATTACTGTTGGAAAATCACCTGAAAATAATATCTACCAAGCAGCTTAAGATGGCCGCATCTTGGAGATAGTAGCATATGAAGTTGTTCTTAATGATAAATGCATTGATAAAGTGGATTTTAAGCATTTTTCATTAAGAATATTTTTAAGTAAAGCATTGTGAATGCAAAATTTATCACATATAATCATATTTTTTATTCAGATCATAGAAAGATTAGGAAGATGAAATGGTGGGTGAGCAACACTAGAAATTTTACGTAAACCTAGACCTCCGAAGCGTATAGGAGGAGAAGTCTGGTCCAAAATTTTGTCACTAATATCGATATTAAGTATGGTGGAAACAATTTCTTTTATTGCAAGTGTTGCGTTTGTGTGTTTCCAAAAAGGCGTATTTGTCACCATTTTATTGTCCTAAAATAGCAGAGTACCTATCTTCTATCTATATAACTATACTATATTCTTGGTCGCTGTCTTCATTGTTGAAGGTCGTGTGTCTTATGTTAGTTGCGTTGACATCCCTGAAGCTTTGACGATTTGCTTCCACACTACCCTATCCTCTGCTTGGTGTAGAGCGGCCGGTACGTGGAGTCCAGTTACGGTTTTTATAAGATCAGACCATCGGGTAGGTGAACGACCTCGTCTACGTTTGCCATCTATTTTCCCTACAATGACCAATTTGTCTAAGCTATCGGGTTGTCTTCTAGTGATATGACCAAATTAACTCAGTACTCGCTGAAAGCAGACGGTGGATAATCTGGCCCTAATCTTCAGTTGGTCGAGAATGGATTTGTTCGGTCTTTTTGCAGTCCAGGGTACGCGCAACATTCTTCTCCAACACCACATCTCAAGGGAGTCGTTTCTTTTTGATCTGCCCCGCAAATATGAAGCGTTTGGTTGTAGATGGGGGGTGAGAAGCACCCCATTCTCATCTTGGTGTTGTTCGAGATGGTTCTGTTCTGCCAAATTCTTGTTAGCCCACCAATTGCGGATTTGGCCATCTGTGCTCGTCTCCGTATCTCTTTCTCGCACCCTCCTTGGTCGAAAAGCAGTGAGCCCAAGTAGATAAATTCGTTCACAAACTCTAAACCCGAGAGTTCTCCTGTACGCACCAGCTCACCGGCACGGTCAATCACCATGATCTTAGTCTTGGACATATTTATCGATAGCCCCACCATTTGACACGCACGCTCCACTCTGCCAAATAATTCAGTTAACTCCATCTCAGAGGAAGCAAACAATGTAGTGTCATCCGCATATCACAAGTTGCTGATTTTCCTGCTACCTATGGAAATACCACCATCCCATTTTTCTAAGGCTATCCTTATGATATATTCGCCGTAGATGTAAAACAGAAGAGGGGAAATGATGCATCCCTGTCTCACTCCCTTTTGAGGTTTGAACGACCCAGACACTACATTGTTCGCCCTTACCATTGACTTCCCCTCCTCGTACAAACACGCGAACAGCGACACCAAATGGTAAGGCACTCCCATCTCCCCAACTATGCTATACTATATAAGCTATTAATTCTGGCCACCGTATAGGCTATATTTTCTTTAATGACTGGTCTCTATTATATAGAACCTTAAGATATCAACGAAACAGTAAGAGATACAGAAATGGCGCCATAGCAAAGATTGTTCACCTGATAAGCATATTTTACTGCGTGAATAAACCTTTCAGTTAGTGATAGTCTCCCTTTTTTACGTCATTTGTTCGCAATAATGTTGGTATTTTGTTGTCTAGATGATTTAAGAATATGGGAAAAGTATAAAAAAAATCTATCTGAAGACATTTTATGCACTTTGAGGAATAATGTGCAGGATGCAATCACTCCAACCGACGACAGTGTTTTGTTGTCCATTTGTTCTATAAAAGAACGCTCTTGGAGCATTTTGTGACTTATCCTAGGCATTTGATTGCGTTGAGCATCGAACACTGACAATGAAGGTAAATTACTAAGGTATCGAAGGCACTGCCCTCCAACTAACACTGTTGTATCTCAGTTCCAGAACTCAAACTATAGATATAAATGGTATGAGATCATCTGGTTCACAAGTGAAATGAGGGTTCCCAGGGATCTACTATATATAACATACATAAATGATTTGCCATTCTCTGTCGAAAATTTACAGATAACTTTGACGATGTAAACAAAGCTCATTTATAGATTATGATTTGGTTTACTGTAAATAATCATCAACGTAAAAGCAGAACTAACAGAAATTAAACTTAATGATGAAAAGCTCGTGTTGGTTGATTCAACAATCTTTTTCAGTGTGACGCTGGATTCTAAATTGCAATGGCATCCTCACATTTCATTATTGGCCGGAAAACTTAGGTTAGCTGCATACGCGATACGAAAAATCAGATAACTCACAGATGTAGATATTATTAGGATGGTATACTTTCTATAGCGTTATATCGTTCGGTATTCTGCTGTGGGTTTTAAGTATGACTGCAAATACAGATTCTGTATTTATTTTACAAAAAACGTTTCGAATCGATTGGATTCTTTTGGTGATTATAGTCTAGAACTAAATCAACCGCGTAAAATTTTTCCTGGCTGGGGTATAGGTGAAATTGTGCTTTTACCCCGTATACCACTTATCCCCAACAATTTTCCTTTTGAATTCATATGCACTTAGTTGCCCACTCTCTTCGTGATGACGATAAATAAGTCATACGGACAGACGCTCAAAGTGTTGGTGTGGATTTTAAGACTGTTTTTATTTCCCACGGATACCTGTACGTAGATTTTTCGGTCATTTTCAGTCATCGGTTAAATATTTCATGAAGACGGGCCAGTTATAAATAAGATGAATATTTTTTTTCATATTTGATTAAAACTTAAAAAACGATGATATAATAATTATATTTATTTGACAATTTCTAAAGATTTTTTATTTATTTGTTAATTCCAAATTAACATACTCATAGGTCAATTTGGAAGATGAGGATTAAATTCTTGCTTCATCTACCGTTGAACATGCCAGCAAACACTTGTTGCCCCTCTCTTTTCACGTAGAAGAGGAACGGGCGATCAATAAGGACTAGCTTCCAATTGCTTGGTGCATCTAAAACCGAATACAAAAATACTTAGCAAAATCGGTAAATATACTTTAATTTTCCTGGTTTACTTCAGCCAGTTGTACAAACGTCCATTAAATTTGTCATTAGTTTAAAGCGACATTCTCCATACAAATTTAACCTTAACTGACGTTTGTGAAACACATCGAAAAATACTTTTAATTGTTTCAAGAAATATAGGCACCACTTAGCCCGATCAATAAAGATATTTTATATCTTATAGAAAAATTCTTAAAAATGCATCAGTCGCATAATCTTTTACAATCCGCGCGACTGCTTTAAACATTTAGCAACGCGAGACCTAACGAGACTAACGAACAGTCTATCTACTTGTTACTTTGCCTACTAGTGAGAGTTAGTCCTGAATCGAAGATCGAAGAATCAATTTGAACTGGATCTTTCAAGTATTTTACTATAAATTAAATAACATCTCATAACTTAATTTTACACGGTATCACGTTGACAGCTGTAGAAGTATAAACTGTGATACAACTTCTTTTGGTTCTCTAACAGTGTGTATAATGTTACATAACAAAAAATACATGCTTATTGCCTCACCAGTTACAAGAGAACATAGCATGCACTCAATTGATAGTAACATAAAAATATTTATTTACAATTATAAATTATCAATAACCAATTAATATGTATATAATATCATCCCACAATGGATCCAGGGCGTAAGATACAGATAAATTGATTAACAATTACAAACAAGTATCTTTACATCCTGAACAGAAGCAATTATTAAATCCAATTCATCCTGGTACATCCCGTAAGCAGATAGCGGGCTGTGAAATCTAAGACTTGTGTGATACTTGGGAAAAGAAAACAATTTGATATTATTTGATCTCTGTGGCCTGATCGGGGCAG